AAGGATTTTAAATTAAAGAGAAAAGACGAACATTTTTTCTTGTATTGGGGATGGGATTGGTGTTATTTTTTCGAACAGGTTTAAAATATTAGTTCTGTAATTGTATTGTGTTGAACAAAACCACACTTAGAGAATTGCATCCCAGCAAAACATTCATTATAGATCGGATGACAAAATAATTTTTAACAATGACCGCAAATTAGTCTGGAAATAAATACTTATTTTTTGGATACTAGAGAGATTAACTGCTTATTTCCGATGAAAGAAAAACTAAATAAGGCCTGGCTTAAAATCCTCACCTTCCAATGATTAGTTTTTTTTTTGCTGGGATTTGTTTTCCACTTCTCCAAATTACCATGGCCCAGCAATAAATGATTTTCCAAATCCATTTTTATTAATGTTCCCTTAAGTTACGCTATCATATCTCATTGTAATAGGATATGTTGGAAATAAATAAAATTTGTTGTTGGTGGTTTTTGTAGATAGATAGCCATTCAGTCCCTTGAAGTAATTGCTGGCATGGCTGGCTTTCTTGCTGTCTGCTTGTGCTTGTGCTACTGCATTACTTAATTACTTATTTAATTGCGTTGAGAAGATAAAGTCTGGTAAACAATAAACTCTCAATTGAAACGCATTTGTTGCTATTGTCGATAACAATTATTCGAAGCAATCATTCGAAACCATTGTAGAAATTAAATTTATTATTATTGCAAAATAAGCATGCACAGGGGGTTTTAGAGGTTGTTTTGGATCTTTGCATTATCTCTGTTAATTTAATTTTACAGAAGAGGCTAAGAGGATTTATGTCTGCAAGGACGACAGAAAAGCTCAAACACGTTTTCTTAATTTCCTTGAGAGGGTTTCTAGGAAGTGTTTCAAATTTTTAGGCGAACACTATATTTTTTTAAATAGATTAATGAAAAGTCACTCTGGGGCCTAACAGTTTAGAAAAATCCTTGTCTCTTTCCGCTTTTAAAGAAAATGTCTTTTAAAATACAGATTATTTAGAGCAGACCTGCTAAATCGAATGACTTTTGGCTAAAATGCGGAAATGCCAGATTTCTGATTAAGATAAATATTTAGATATGGGAAGTCGTATAGAATCGCCGAATTGTTCCGCAAGTTATGACAGATATAAGTATTGGAAATTTCGATCCTTTGTGTGTGAGATACCAGAAGTGGTTGACAAATATCTATCATCTTCACAACCGAATGGATGTTTGAAGTTTGAAGATAGTTGGATGCTTATTTCGCGTTTTATGAGCGATTTTTTTTTCAAAAATTTAAACCTTTTGTACAAGAAGGAGTTCACCGATTTTCACAGCAGATCTTGTGTTAGTAAAAATAATGGCATACCTGAAATTTGTAGAGAACCGGATGATTATTTCGGATTTTATCATCGTTTTGGTTATTCAAATTTTGACTCTTTGTGGGGTAGGTACCAGAAGGAATGGTCCGATATCTACCATCTTTATAGCATATCTTGCGTTGTTGGAAATATTGAAATGTACCAAGTCTGAATGGAATCGAATGGTAATTTCACGTTTTGTGAGCTTCATGTATATTTAAAATTTATACCCCTTTCCGGGGTTATTCAAGAAGGAGTGGACCGATATATTCCATCTTCACACCAGACCTTGGCTTAATAAAAATATTGTGATGTGCGTAATTTGAAGACAATCGGGCTGATACAAATATTAGGATTTGCAAAGATGGAGCAAAATTGGATTATCCTTTCTCTCTCTGCAGTAAAATATTTTTTTTTTTGAAAATGTCGAACTTTTGTGGGGGAGGTACCAGAAGGAGTGGACTGATATTGCCCATCAAAGAACTCGATCTATGTTGGACCAAATCGGATACTCCCTTCGAGAGTGGTCGAGCGCACCAGACAGACGGACTGACATCGCTAGATCGACTCCAAATGTCCTGAAACGGATTGATCTAAGACCGTTATTTCGATGAGACACGTTTTGGCCGTATCAAATGATATATAAAAAAATTTGATTTAACCCCTCACCAATTTAGGATCTATACGTGCATTTCTCGAAACGGATTACAGGAAATCAAACAAACATTCAGGAAGGACATACCGGAAGTCCATAAAAATTACTTATATCTCAAAAAGTCGAAAACGACATATAGAACACTTAAGCATGACAATGATGATATGTAATATCTGGCTATTATAATAGAGTTCGATTATACCCCTCTCTGTGGCCATTTTGTCATTTTGATTTGATACCAAGATATCAACCATTTGACTCACAACACACACACCCATACACACATATGTAGATGTTTGCAGTGGGCACATGGGATAGTTTAATGTTTGCACACTTCTTGCCACATGTTAAGCCACTGGCTTCAATTGGCCATAAACAATTTCCAAATTAAACGGAAGTACCACAACTAAATCCATTTGTGCAAATTATCCATAGAATAATAAACAATTTATTGATGGTCTAACCTAAATTTCATCTCTATTTACATAATTAATAAACAAATGACAATTTGAGAGTTGGTCATGGACATGGACACGGACACGGACACGGCCAAACAAACACAAACACAATCTCTCTCTATCTCTGTGTCTCTATGGCATATTTGCTAAATAACCACATACAATCACAAGCACATGCCTGTGTAGGTGTGCGTGTGCATGTTAAAAGGCCGACAGACAGACAGACAAACTAAGGATAATTTATGGATAGTTTATATGGAATCGCACACAAACACACACACAGACACACAAACATCCATTCGTTGGCACGCAAACATTGATGCTCACACGCCTACATTGTTCAAACACACAACTTTATAATTAATAATACAATGCAAAAAAAAAAAAAAAAAAAACACAGAATAAACTAGAGTAACAAATGATAAGAGCTAAATTATACACACATGCCAGGGACAAGGACGGCGCAAAGGGGCGGCAGCTCGAATGGAAATAGGAGTGACAGCATTCGTTTACATTATTCTCCAATTACGTAAACGCTCGACAATGGGGTATTTTAAAATTTAAATTAATTGCCGTAACTTAATACAATCGACAATAATGTAAATAATTAAAATGTTTTTCATTTTACAAACACATTCACACATACACATGCACACACACACACACGGATGCAGGCATTGACTCGACAGATAGCTGGTTGATTTCATTATTGGAGTAGAGTATGGAGATTGAATTAGAGAGTTGTTGTTGGGGGTGAGGGGTCAATGGCCTGTCGTGTTAGAGACGTTTTGACATGTTTGTGAATTTAGACATTTTGGCGTTATTTTTTGTAGAAATTAGGATAATTCTCGAATTCGACTAGAAAGTGAATTGTACCGAATTCCTTAGAAATACCACAATATACACTGGGGATATACAGGGTGAGTTAAAAAAAACTGCAACAACGTCAAACGCCATAATTTTTCAATTTTTTAATTTTATTGAATGTAAGCAAAAAATGTCGGAAATAGCATCGAATTTTAGAATAAGTTTAGATTTTTTCGAAATGGTCACCTTTGGCACAAATTATGGCCTTCAAACGGCCAATGAAATCGTCACACACTGGCCGAATATCGACACTTTGGTATTTTTTAGTGCCAACCTTGATTTCCAAAATATTCCAGACACAATAGTCCAACGGATTGTTATCCTGAGATTTTGGTGGCCATTGTGCGCTGGAAATGAAGCGAGGAGCCTAATTTTGTGCGATGGTGCTAAGTCCTGTTGGAATGTCCAAGGTCTGCGGCTAAAATGTTTGCGTGCCCTAGGTTTGCATACACCCTCCAGAATATTTTCGCGATAATATTCGGCATTTATTCTGATGCCACGGTCGGTTAATACGAGCGGAGATCAACCATAGGCTGTTATGGCGGCCCACACCATTCTCATGGCCGGCGCTTGAGTTCTGGTGGCCAACCGAAGGAGCACATATTCGGCTGACTTCATCTTTTGACGTCTGGCTACGCTACCAGTGTCACTGTAACGAGCGATGGTACGAGACACAAAATATTTATTCACATTTCTGAATAAATGCTGGAGTGCTCTAACGATAACCCCTTGTTATTTTTCAGCCAAATATAAAGAAATCACACTATCACGCTTGAATTCCATTACGAATAACTTTGTTTCTGGAAAATTCTCACCAAAATGCTTTGGTACGCTTGTAAACAATATAATGAGCTGTCACTGGAATAATTTTAACAGCTGTCGGTCGAGTGGTTTAGAAATGACAGCAGTCTGAAATTGGTTGCAGTTTTTTCATCTCACCCTGTGTTTAAGTCTCTCATATTCGCATATGCAGGATATTCCAATTTCAGATTTATTATGCAACTAATGGCTAATATCAGACCAAACTTAGTGAATTTCAGGACGTACGTTTTCATTTGTGGAACTAGGCTCCGATATATATTTCTTAAATGTAATCCTTCTCGAAGTGATATACCGCACTTAAGATTAAAATGTCTCAGTCAAATTTAGTGAAAATAAACTCAGAATTGGAAATACCTCCAATATATTAGTTCGCTCTGAGACCAAATTATATCTGCTCTAAAGACAAAGGTTGATAGGTGGTATGATCTGCTTCAAATAAATTCCCAATATAAATTCTTTTGTTACGGGAGCTGTACTAAATATACATAGTGGTGTGGGGTATCGTATGGTCGGCCCCGCCCGACTTTTGACTTTTCTTTACTGGTTAATGATATGTAGAATCGTACATTGGTAAAAATTAATACCGAACCTAGTTGTAACAATTACAAAATTATATATTAATAAAAACAGTTTATTTTTTTCACATCTTTGATTTCAAATCAAACTGCAGCAAAACAATGAGATGGACCAAAGCGAAAAAAAAATATCTGAAGCAGGTGGCTTTGTTGAGGGGAAATAGTCCGTAAATGTTGAATTGTAACTTGTGACAGGCCAAATATTGGTGGAATTGTGTTATCTGCAATGAGAGAGAAGTTAATTGGCCTAATCCGGTGTCTATTAAAATTCCCTCTTAACTTGCCATTTTTAAGAATTGACTCTGCTGATGGAGGTGACCTCTCTCCCCTTTCTCATTGGCATAGATTCGTAATACTTCATTTGTTTGATTGCAGGACGAGAGAATACCATCGATGGCTTTCATTGTCAACGTTGTATCCCAATAGAATAATACAATGGTCATGGTGCCAATTAGGTCTTGGGTATTATCCGATTCTATGCTGCCATTGGTAAACTGTACCGCATGATAGAGTAGCGCTATGTTGGTGGTGAAAATTTTTATCATCCAGAAGAAGGTAATGTCCTGCCATATCCTCAAGAATCTCTGTGACAGATGATAACATTCGTAGTGCATATTATACAGGGTCCAATAGCTCCAAAATAGTTCCCCACGAGTACTCCTCTGTGATGTATGTTGGAGGACCTTGTTGATAAAGACAAAATGCAAATGCATTCGAAATAAAATTAAATCAAATGTCACATTGACTTGAAGCAAAAATTGACTCTGCAGAAGATTAACCAGAATCATAAGCATATATGTCCAGCTACGCTCCTTTTGCATTCGAATGAAGAGAATGAACATTATAATGGCATTGGCATGACAAACGCCAAATTTGTAAATTGTATTTGTCCTCACAGTGGCCAGTTCCTGCTCCATGTACGGCTCCATATCGTGGTACGCACAAAACTGCTGGTATTTCCTAACAAATTTCCAATAGTCCTCATAAAGTCGTATCATCCGTCCACGCTTAAACCAAATCTCCAGACTCATAACAATGTTGACGAGAATCCGTGCCGTCTTGCCAATGTGGTAGGTCCACCTCAAGATTAATTTCCTATTCATGTAGTAGTCTTCCTGTTCTTCTCTGCTGGCCATGAAGGGCGTGGCCATTGGTGTCAGCAGCATGAAGACACATTGTATTATAACACTGTAGGCTATGTAGATTTTTGGAGATTTTAAATTTCGAGTATCTTTGTTATATAGTCCAGGCATCAGACCCAACACCAAGGCATGATAGTAATTGATCCACCAAACCATTTTCTCAAGTCGTTCATTTATGCGAAGTGACATTTCCTGGTGGTTGTTATTTGAATGACCTTTTCTGGGCTACTGTTTCGCAATTGAACTATGAACTGTCTTCTTTTTTGAACGGCACATGGCACTGTGCAACAAAAAATTGCTGTAAAAGTGAAAATCTTAAAAAAAGTATTTTATCTAATTTCTATTTTCATTCATCAGTTTATTCGAAATGGTATCATAGACAACGAAACCCGTATAATTGTTTTCATTCGAACATAGAACCCTAGCAATTTGTTGGCTTTTTTGTGTTGCTCTGTGTAAATGTTATCGGATTCAGTTTGTATGTGTACTTCATAAATTATTCCATCGACTGGCCATAATACAAGGGACATACTAATACCCATGACAATTTCATGATTAAATTGTTCCAGGTATTTGTGTAAATAAATAGAATTTGTAAATTAATTTAATTATTGTACACTAACAAGACTGGGGACAGGAATTTGAAATATCTAAATGAGTAAACTGTTCAAATGAATGTTTGAAAAATCTACACATCCTTGAGTCTATAGAGAATGTAACGTTACATCAGTACACAAAGGACTCTATGAATATATTCCTTGAATAATGTTGCTAATATCATAAACATACCGAATAAAGAGATCTACCGCTATATGTGGGCTATATGATGACGTGGACCAATATAGACAATTCTCTTCCAGGGAGTAAAGTACTCAGAAGGAACTCCTTGTGTGGATTTTGCGACAATTCCATTGAAAATGTTGCTAAAATATACCGATATAGCACATCTTTGAACTTGACCAGCCTGCAGAAGAAACACTTTTCTGTGCAAAACATTTAATTTGTTCTGACCCTAGGGTGAGGTGAAACAAACTTCAGACTGCAACAAACTACGGACTGCAGACTGTCATTTCTAAACCAATCGTCCGACAGCTGTTAAAAGTGACAGCTCATTCTATTGTTTACAAGCGTACAAAAGCATTTTGGTGAGAATTTTCCAGAAAAAAAGGTATTCGTCATGGAATTCTAGCGTGATTGTGTGAGTTCTTTATATTTGGCTGGAAAACCATAAGTGGCTATCGTTAGAGCACTCCAGCATTTAAATGTGAATAAATCTTTTGTGTCTCGTATCATCGCTCGTTACCGTGATACTGGTAGCGTAGCCCGACGTCAAGGAAGTGGATGGAAGAAAACAGCAACATCAGCAGAAATGGTTCGAAAAGTAATGAAGCCACGTGATCGAAACCCGCGTCGCAGTGGCCGAAAAATGGCTCGTGAGCTGAACACATCGCAAAATTCCATTCGGCAAATATTGAAAAATGAAATTCCAAAAAGTGCAAGAACTTACACCGCAGCAGAAAGAAAATATACTCAAAAGAGCAAACGAGTTGCTTCGCTTGGCCGAAAGTGGTGAACTGCCGAATTTGGTATTCTCCGATGAGAAAATATGCCTTGTCCAGCAGTTTGTAAACAAACAAAATGATCGTGTTTACTTCCCAAAGAGGTCAGCTAAAAATGTGCACCTTCGGTTGGTCACCAGAACTAAAGCGCCGGGCATGGTGTGGGTGTGGGCCGCCATAACAGCCGATGGTCGCCCTTAGTATCAGAATAAATGCCGAATATTATCGCGAAAATATTGTGAAGGGTGTATTAAAGCCTTTAGCACGCAAACATTTTGGCCGCAGACCTTGGACATTCAAACAGGACTCAGCACCATCGCACTCAGCAGGCGTCACCGAAGAGTGGTTACAAAATGGGGTTCTTCACTTCACTTCTAACACACAATGGCCATCAAAATCTCCGGATACCAATCCGATGGACTATTGTGTCTGAAGTATTTTGGAAAGCAAGGTTGGCACAAAAAAATTCCAAAGTGTCGATCACCTCAAGCAAGCGCTTCGCTGGGATTGGACCAAAATACCGCAGAGCAACATTCGGGCAGCGTGTGACGGTTTCATTGGTCATTTGAAGGCCATATTTCATGCCAAAGGTGACCAATTCGAACAAATCTAAATTTATTTTAAAATTTGATACTAATTCCGATATTTTTGCTTTCATTCAATAGAATTTGAAAAAATGTAACAAGTAAAAAAACATTAAGTTCGGCCGGGCCAAACTTTTAATACCCTCCACCTTAGGGTAAAGGAAACATTAGAAGAAATGTGGCAAAAACCATTAAAATGCCGAATATCGGGAGGTACCGTTATATGGGGGCTCTACCAAATCGTGGACCTACACATGCAAGGTTCCGCCAACCGAGCTAGAACCCATTATGACCTACAAATACCAATTTTCAGACAAATACGTGAAAAAAGGTTCAAAAATCATCAAATTACCGAATATCGGGAGGTACCGTTATATGGGGGCTATACCAAAACGTGGACCTATAATTACAATGACTCGCCACACGAACTGGAACCCATTATGATCTACAACTACCAAATTTTCAGTGAAATTCGTGAAAAAATCAGTCAAAAATCATCAAAATACCGAATATTGGGAGCTACCGTTATATGGGGACTATACCAAAACGTGGACCTATACATACAATGTTTCGCCACACGAACTAGGACCCATTATGACTCACAAATACCAATTTTTACACAAATCAGTGAAAAAATGTTGCAAAAACCATCAAAATACCGAATATCGGGAGGAACCGTTATATGGGGGCTATACCAAATCATGGACCCATACATGCAATGTTTCGCCACCGGAGCTGGAACTCATTATGACCAACAAATACCAATTTTTAGACAAATCCGTTAAAAACTGTGGCAAAAATAATCAAAATATCGAATATCGGACCTATATATGCTATGTTTTGCCACACATACAGGGACCAGTTATGACCTACAAATACCAATTTTCAGACAAATCCGTTAAATAATGTGGCATAAATCATCAAAATACCGAATATCGGGAGGTACCGTTATATGGGGACTATACCAGAACGTGGACCGATATATCTCATTTTCAATACCAACCATCCTAGACACAATACCAATTGCTCTGCTAAATTTTGGCGCTCTACGTCAAATAATGTGGGCTGTATCGTGATTTCAACAGACAGACAGACAGACGGACAGACAGACAGACGGACATCGTTAAATCGACTTAGAATTTTATGCTGATTATGAATATATATACTTTATGGGGTATACGACGAATATTTAAGGATGTTACAAACGGAATGACAAAGTTAATATACCCTCCTTTCCAAGGTGGAGGGTATAAAAATTATGGCGTTTGACTTTGTTGCAGTTTTTTTTTCATCTCACCCTGTATATCTATATTACGAAACCTCCTGTTTTGGGGGTTATATCCACAATTTTCAATTCTAACTTAACATAGACTTCATAATTTACAATTCTTGGTAATAGCAAATGTCCCCTTAGCTGATCAAAATGTTTTTATACATTACCTCAAACTTAAACTCCATTTTTTACAAATCAAACACATTCTGCAATCTCTGATGTTCAGGTATATTTTTTTAATTTCTTTTTATTATTTTTTTTTATATATATCTTCAATAATTTGTTTGGGGGTTTTGGTTTTCCTTTCTTTGTTTTTTTCTTCTTCTTCTTTGTTTGTCTAAATGCGTACAATCTTACATTTACAAATAATTACTATGGTAATTATCTCAATAATCATAATAATTATCTTACATTGCTAGTTGCATTTGCGTTTAAAACTACGTGTACAATCATAATCATTGGCATCTTCTCTAAATTGAAGAGCTCGGCTGTGAGTTTTGGGGGGGTCATTCAATCCATGGTTACTCGTTTGTTTTGTATATTTGTTTATGTTTTGTTTTTTTACATCAACTTGTGAGGTTTTATTTTTGTTTTTGTTTTTTGCCTGACAATTTCCAATTTACACAACTGCTTGGGGAATGGTGGAGGGGGGGAGGCGGGGCCAAAAGTATTATTTATTGTTGCTGCTCTATAATTTCCCATATAAATTCATAAAATATTTATTCTCTTTCATCGATTTCGTTTTACTCTATATCTTCGCGTTTATGTGCAAAAAATATGGCATTCTTTAGAATTTCTTTCCATGTTTTCATTTTCGTCTTTTTTTCTTTTCATTAAAGTTTATTTGTTGCTTGTTATCTATTGTATTGATTTCATTTATTGGATTTTGTCTTCTGAGCGGGTACTGTGGTGTCTACTACTCCACACTCACATCACGTTCTGTTCTTGAAATTGTTTGCTGGGTGAAGTGAAAAATCTTTGAGTTTTTTAAAGACAGACATTGATTATTGTAAATTAATTAATAATTACTTTTAACTTTTTAAAAGTTAATATTTCGTGGTCTGGTATTGGCTGGCGCCTTCTCACTTCGCCTTAGACCTTGTTTCTTAAAAAGGGAAATCTTATTTTATTTTCTGGTGGCAAACAAAGGCAGTATCTTGTTTTGTTTAAAGAATAACAAAAATTACATTAAAAATTCAAAATTCCATTTTTGTAGGATAATGTCGGGTTGGATTTTTAGAGTTTTGCGTTTTATTTCCCCGATTTGTTTTAATAGTATAATTGCTATTGTTTCAATTCAATTCAAACTATTTACTAAATAACTTTATTAGTTGTGTATAAGAAGGTGTTGGTGTATGTGTGTGTATTTATTTTCTTTTCTTTGTGTTTGTATAGTTCTTTTTTTTGGGTTTTTTTTCAAGAAAAGTTCAACAAATTCGTGTAAATGACAAGTGTCTGCTTATTTTTCGTTTCTCTCTCTCTCAAGATAACTCTCTCTCATTCTCCCTCTCTTGCTTTTCAATAACTACTCGTCGCTTCCTTGTGCTTGGACCCTCGACACATCAAACGTAATATGAGAACTATTAAAACGATTATCGATACTAGAATGGCGGAAAAGAAGGCAATTTCTCCAACAGTCATGGCCCGGCGCTGGTACTTCTTCACACACAAAATAGCCGACTCGTCGTCTAGGAGTTTACTGCTCAAATGCTGTGGCTGGTCCTTGTGAATGTGCCACAAATCCAGTTGCTCCAAATTCCATTGCAAATGCTGGGTAAGGTCTTCCAGTTGGGAGGTGGTGTGGCTGACATTGGGACAATTTTGTATGCCATCGCAGACGAAACGTTGAGGCAGGCAAATATTCGGATTACCAGGGCACTTGAAGCTACACTCATTGTCCTGTAGCAGTGAAGCAGCCAGGCTGCCATCCGGGTTACGTGGCAAATGGAATAATTCGGTCCACACCAAACGGAAAATGTTCTTGCCTGGTTGGCCATCTCCGGTGTATTGTATGAGTACCGGCAATGGTTCTTGGTCCGAACCCAAAGCTCCCAAATCGGCAGTTGAGAGTATGGGTAAATCCCGAGCCAAGGATACGTTTTCGGGGCATATAATAAATCGTGGTTCCAATCGTCCAGCCAAGTAAACCTCAATCTTGGCGCTGTCGCAGGTGCGATCACCAAAACGTGCCTTTTCCAAATTGAGCCAAAGATCCCTTTGGGAGGCCACCTTTAGTTCCCAGATGCATTTCTCTCGCCTATAGTGATGTTCCGGCTGGGCAGCCATGGGGCCCGTCACCAGGGCCAATGCCTTTTTGTAGGGATATACCAATTCGCCATCCGGCGAGGGACCCAAAGTAATGGGCCCACACAACGGACCATGGGCAAATTCATACGAAGCCTCAAACAGGGGATTGGGATTCTTGAAGTACGAAGTTATGGCATGTTGGCCCTGTACAATCATTTCCAAGTTCATTTGATCCGCTGAGGAGATGACTCGCACCGGTCTTGGTATATTGTCACAGAAGCAGGCCAAATTGTTTTGGAATTTCTCACGCTCCTCCCAAATAACCAGCTTATCTACTCGCTCCTCATGGCAGCGCGTGCAGGCATTGTTGTTGTAGGGCAATTCCTTGAACATTACCGAACTGACTTCGATAACAGCCCGGGCATATAGCCGACGATCGGTTACAAATTTATATTGGCATCTGACATCCGAACCGCCAGTCCGCTTGAATATCAATGAATTCATTGGCGAACGAATCTTTCCTCCCGGATGTTTCCAGGCGTACATAACTTCATCGCACAGAGTATTAGGGACAGGATCTCCAAAGCGGGTGTTGTTGAAGAAGTCATAGTGGGCCCAGAAGTAAAGCGATGAGCCACTATAGGAGCCAGTTTTCGATTCAAACTGCACAAAAAGCGAGGGACTGGTGCTGACGAAGTCCACCTTTTCCATTGGCCTGGAGAAGGTATCACAAAATGTCTTAATGATTCGAGCTGGATCGGCACGATCGGAATCATAGATGGTCAAAGATTCTCCACAATCTTCATCGTATTTCAAAATGGGCGATTCAATGCGATTTATGCGGAAACTGTAAGGAAAGAAGAAGAAGGTGAAACAAGGAAAAATCAATTGAATTGCAGTGTAAGGCAAAGGGTAAATTTGTTGTAGCAGCAGCAACAACAACAACAAATCTGTTATCCATGAGTTTGCAAGTTGCATATGTGTTTTTACAATTTAATCTGATTTCCTAAACCTAAAAACCTCAAACATATTACAAAACAAATGCACACACAACCACACTCGCTCAAGTATTTTTCCGTATGAACTCACAGCGAACACACAGCCTTACATACACACACATACAAAGTATGGAGAGAATAACAATGATATGCCAAAGAAATCCTTGCATATCAACCTGGCAAACAGCCAACATAATTCAAACCTGCATTCGCTTTTCATATTCACAGTTATGGGCTCAGGTAGAGTTGGAACAAACACAGCCACAACTAAAAAAAAAGAGAGGAAAAACATAATCCTGTACTTCGCTTATTTAACACTCAACTTCCACAAAAAAAAAGAAATATGTTTGGAAAAGCAGTCAAAGTGACACGGCCAAAAATAACATAACTGAACGCCACATGCGGAAACACAGAGGCGTCTTAATAAAAAATATGTAGTAGAAGCAAGGAATTTTACACAAGCGGTTATTGAAAACGATCTTTGAAAAGTCGTTAATGGTCTTCAGGAATGTTTTTTGTCTACATGAATTATCAGTTAAACTGTATGGCTTTCAAATATTTAAAAATACAAAGGACCCTACATGTAAAATGAACCTGCTTTTCTGTTTTCCATGGATTCGCTCATGGCTATAGGTGATTCCTTTACATGGCCTTATCTATAGCAAAAATACTTTCTCTTTCTCGCATTTTGAGAATTCTGGAAACGGTCCTTATTTTATTCCCTTTATATTTCCCCTTTCGCTAAATTACCGACAAACTCCCCCTGCCTTCTACGTTTCTGCCTCTCTTCACATATTCATGTTTACCAGGAATATCTAAAAACAACACAACCAAAAAAAGAGCAAAACAGAAAAAAATTGGAAAATAGAATTTTCCAAAAATTGTATAACTCCTAAGCTTTCCTCACTTCGTCATGTTGTTGAGCTTATAGTAAATCTTCACCGTATACCTTTTGAAGACACTCACAGACGAACCTGTACAGGAAATATACACACAAATACCACCACCACATATGTATGTCTCGAACAAGATGAATGCCGAGCAACCATAAACATAAGGCTAAGGTGATCATTTCACTCAGCGGTTTTACAACCCGACCAAACTGAAAAAAATCCCGGCTCTTGAAACAAGTATTAGTGGATGCAGCAACCAACAACCAGGCCAATGCAAATAATGTTGGTTCTAGGAGTTGGGGGAGGAAGGCGACTCTAACGATGTTGCAGAGTTAAGAATAGGCCAAAGTTGTTTTAATGTACTAAGCCCCAGAATGGAATACTCGTAGCGGTTATAATGGCGGTAAAACTCGTTAGTTTGCCCAGTACAAATGTAATCGGTAAATGTGTCAGCTTAACTTGTTTGTACATACGAACACACACCCGTACATACATACATATATGCCTACACAACATCGTCAGGTACCTTTCTATACATTCTACAAATTCAGTTTGTATGTATGTATGTGTAATTGTTTTTATGTGTATTATTCCCATATTCATGTATGTGGATTATAAGGACATGCCGCAAGGCATTGCCGTGTCACAAGACTTTTTTTTACCACTTTTTGGTATTTGAATTTGTATTTGTAAGTGTGGGTGTGAGCTAGCGAACGAGAACGCTGACTATGCCAAGACACGTTGCATGCCATGTAGGCGACTGTTATGCACGTTCTTGCCGTAAATACAATATTTTCTTTCTATTTTTTCCAATTTTCATACAATTTTCTTTTCTTTCGTTTCGTTTCGTTTCGTTTCGGAGGGGAATAAACTGGAGCAGAAATAAAACCGAAATGAAATTGTGCTGTAACAGCATAATTTCGAATATGTTTCCCAGAACCCCCCCCCCCACTCCCTCCGTTCTTTGTGGTGGGGCACAACTTCTTCATCTTTAGATTCCACATTTTGTTTGTTGTCTATGGAAGTCCGCAACTCCGCAATCTATTCTATTTTGCCCTGAATTCAACATTTCAACAGCTTCCTTTTTTTTTCTTTCTTGGTTGGGATATTTGTAGGCGTTAGGCATGAAAATCATTTTATTAGCTTGATTTTGTTTTCACACGTATGTGCGTGTGTGTGTGCGGTGGAATACGTGCACGTACATTCATGTGAATGTATAGGTATTTGAGTTTGAGGTTTTCATATTGTTGTTTGAGTTTGAGTCTTGTTTAACGAGGGGTTGCAAGGGCAGTGTATGAAAAATAGCTGGTTCAAAAGAAGACTGCAGTTACAAACATCACATTTACATGTCGAGCCAAGTTAAGTTGCATATCTGGAATGTCCAGAAGCACCCAATAAACCTTGGGAATAAAAAGAAGCCTTTGCTTCGAAAAGTGTGTGGGGTTATTAAATCGCATTTTTTGATTTTATTACTAATTGTCAAACTACTTGTAAACGATTGCGTTGAAATAAAAATGAAAATTTGGCTAATTGACTTCGAATTAATTTCGAATTCATATTTTCCGATACTTGGCTTGAAAACTAATTGAAACCGTTATTATTAGAAATTTTCGCCTTTTTTATTAAGGCGAAGGTCCTTTGTTTGTGGACATTTGATAATTTCCTCTTTCGAGTTGAGCTTTTAATGACCCAAGATGATTATTGCTTTATTTTCTCAACCATTCTTCTTTCTTTACGCATCAATGTGACGTCATTAATTCCACTCACTCGTATTTATAAATACGATTCCGTTGGCAGTTACGAGGTATTGTGGTTTTTATGAGTAATTGTTTGGACGAATGGACGTTGTTGCAATTATGTCGGATAATGATCCCCGAAACTTCCATGTATAGATAAAGAGCTATAAATACGAGTGAGTAAAGGACAGCCAGTTCAGCATAGCATTAAATTGCGACTTGTGAGAAAAAGTAACTCCTAGTGTGGATTTTGAGACAACTCCCTTGTCAAATGTGGCAACAATCATCAAATACCGAATATCGGGAGGTACCGTTATATTAGGTATATAAGATATGGTGGACCTACATATATAAACAGATCTCTTCCAGGCTATAAAGTACTCAGAAGGAACTCTTTGTGTGGATTTTGAGAAAATTCCATTGAAAAATGTGCTTCAAATCATGAAAATACCGAATATCGGGAGGTACCGTTGTATGGGGGATATACACGATATACACCTATGTAGACAATTCTCTTTCTGGGGGAAAACTACTCAAAAGGAACTCCTGGTGTGGATTTTAAGACAAGTCCATTGTAAAATGTGGCTATAATCATCAAAGTACTGAATATGGGGAAGTGCCGTAGATGTACCGATATGGTGGACCTATATAGACAATTCTTTTCCAGAGGGCAAACTACTCGAAAGGAACTCCTGGTGTGGATTTTGAGGCAATCCCACTGAAAAATTTGGCTAGAATCATACAGATTATCGGGAGGTACCGTTATATGGGAGATATACAATATCGTGGACCCATATCGACAACTCTCTACCAGGGGGTAAATTAGTCGCAAAGAACTCCTTGTGTGGAATCTCAGACAATTCCATCAAAATACCAAATATCGGGTGGTACCGTAATATGGGGGATATGCGATATCGTAAACCGATATGGCCTTTCTTCTAACATGACCTGCCTGCACACAAAAAACTGATTTGTGAAAATTTTAGCTTCCCATCTTAATTTATTTTGACTCAAGAGTGATTACAATAGACGGACGGACGCATGAGTCTAAACCGTCCTAGAATTTTACGCTGATCAAGAATATATATATTTTGATAGGTCTACAATTATTTTGATGATTCCAAACGGAATAACGAACTTTATATACCTTCCATGTTGGAGGGTATAAAAATATAAATACTCACATGAGGTATGACAGGAGTACCCACACTTATTATTCCACCTCCCACTTATAAGACACAACTTCCCATTGAATGCATTTCCCAGCGACCCAGTGAGTGACTTTGTCTGGGACTTCATATATTTTAAGGTGAATGAATACGAATATTCTGTTTATGTCCTTGTGTGTGTAGGTTATTACAGAGACACATACATACAGGCACATCCACATAGATACAGAGCGAAAATGTCTTTTGCGCATAGAGACCTTATAATAAAATATTTTGTCATATTTTATTAGTCAAGCCCAAATGTAATTGTATCCAATTTTGTGATTATGTAGTCTTATATGTTTTTTTTTTTTACTTTTTTCTTTGGTCTTGCTTCCTTCTTTTTTTCTTCTTCTTCTCATTTTACGGCAGTTATTCAACAATTTTGTTATTACTGCACACAAAAATTTACAAATAAAAATTGAGGCTTTTCAATGTGACACACGGGGGCCACGAGCCTGGCTGAATGTGTGTGGTATGAGCTGCATATATACATGTGTGTGTGTATTTGTTTCCAACAAATACGTGAATTGTTTAAAGAGGTCTGGAAAGTTTTCTATTGAGAGGATATGTGGCAGTTAAATAGCAAATACTGCAACACTGTTATGGTCCTGTGCTCTCTGTCTGTCTATCTGTTTGTCTCACCAAGTAAACGAGTCGAGTAGAGTCGAATTGAGCCGACCTGAACATTTCACAGTCGATATTACTTTTTGAGGCTTTTTTATGATATGCAGAGTTTCGTTTATGTCTCTTCATCTCTTTGTGCCGTTTGTGAGCCATTCATCCCATTTTTATTATTATTACGATTATGACTTTTTTTCCAGTCCTCTTAGCTTGCTTTTTTTTGCTGTTGTTGTTATTGTTCGAATTTTGCACAAAAAAGCGAAAAATGTAATTGAAAAAGTTTTTCTATTAATTTTATTAAATTCCATTTTATCAAAGAGGGGATTTATGCTAGAACATCGTGTGATATGTGTGTCACACGCTTACATGTCGGCTTGTTTGGTTGTGT